TATTACAATTATTTCAGTTTCTTTTTTTTTAAATAAAATCATTTTAGTGACGGATATCGACGGATACATATCTGTCGCTAGATTGGAAAATGTCGTAGGCAATGTGTAGTAAATTATTATGTAGGCAATTCGTAGGAAATGATTATGTAGGGAATCAGTAGGTAATAATGATGTAGGGAGTCTGTAGTAAAATAGGTTTTTGTAGGTAATCTGTAAGTAAATGTAGCTGTAGGCAATCTGTAGGTAAATTACCAACGAAAATTTCCGTAGGCAATCTGTAGGAAATTCTGTAGGTAAAGCGTGACAACCAATTACCCACGAGTTATATTCCTACAGAGTTGTTTCCGTAGGTAACCCGTTTTATCTACAGATTACCTATGAAATCTGTTGTAGGTAAATGGGTAGTTTTCTAGTGGTGATGCTAAAAGCGAGTGAGGCATTTAATGTTTGGAATTATAGGATTCAAAAACAGGTAAAGATTCATGCACAACCATAAACAACTAATTAGTTATTTTTTTATTTTTTTATCAATTCCTAAAAGAAGTATTCAATTAGACAACTATAATCGACCAATAAACAACCCATAGGATGTTTATTACTCATACCTTGATTATTCAGGGGTCATTTTATGTTGTAGAAGTGATCAAAATAGATCATCGCCACATACTGGTATCCACACGAGTTGATATTAACTACTTCTACCAACTAACAATCAAAGCAAGACTTCTTGTTTCTTATTTGTTCTTTATCATCGACCAGATGGAGGAGAAAGCTAAGAAGGCACAACCAACTGGAGAGAGAGAGAAAGGGAATGATCAACTATTATTTTTCTAAGCGAACTTGGTATAATACCTAACGTGCTTTTTTATATAATTTTTTTTAAACGGCAAATCTATTATAAACCTAAACTACTTCTTAATTTCACTTATGTCCACAACGGGACTTGAACCACTGACCTAGAAGACCTTTGGTTCTTTTTTTATACGTTTGCATTATTAGAGGATCCATAATTGTGAGTTCAACGGGAGAGTTGAATGAGGTGTCAAGTCTATTTTTCATTCAACGGAATAAATTCTATCATAGTGAGATGTCATTTTGGCATTTAATGGATTTGGGGTTTAATAATCACTGAACTCTTCAATGGGAAAAATGAAAGTTTTTAATTTTTAAATATATACTATAAATTATTTTTTGTAATTTTCTATTGAACTTTGTAAAATTCAATGCATTATATAAAAAAATTGATATAATTATATAAAATATAAAAAATTGATGTGACAATTCATTGAACTCTGTATTTAAAGGCATTGTGGATGCCTTTAAATGGTCTTCAAGAAAGCCTTTCGATCCGACCCATTTAAATCATCCAAACATGTTTAACTAATTACTACTAAATAAACTACTTAATTTAATTAAACAAATAAACTCTTGTATTTATTTTCATTTAATTGAAAAAGTTATAAACAACCAGTTATTTATCATTTCCCTAGTTGGTAAATAATAAATTTATCATTTATAAATATTACTTATTTTCATATGTTTTAATGATCTATATGTTTGACGACGTAGATCATTTATATAATTAATAGTATAATAAGCTGTTTGTATCTTGCATATTAGATCTATTAGACTCCTACTTATGCAAGGGACAAAAAGAAATCAACGATTGAGACAAAGCATTCTAGCAAAAATGTAACCACCCCTAAATATACATGAATGTATATTTAACTACTTAATGTCAGATGCGTTATCGTCTCATCTCTATTTGTTCTAATATCGTTGAATGTGAGGAATAGATTGAATTATTCTTATACAAGTTTTATATTGGTTTCACGATCTATGAAGTTGAATAAGACAATAAAAAATTAAATAACTATCATGTAAATACCATATCGACACGACTATACACTTATATCTAAGGCTGTAAACGAACCGCACGAACACGAACAAAGGCTTGTTCATGTTCGTTCGTTTAAATTAGCCGAACAATCGAACGAACACGAACGGATAAACGAACATAATTTTCTTGTTCATGTTCGTTCGTTTAACAAATTGTCTTGTTCATGTTCGTTCGTTTATGTTCGTGAACATGCTAAACGAACATAAGCGAACGAACATAAACGAACAAAGATAAACAAACACAATTGAATATATATGAACATAAACGAACTATAATATAGTAATGTAATAAAAAAAACAATTGAAAATATATGAGCATAAAAAAACTTAAACGAACGTAAACGAACGTTCAAGAACGTAAATAAACGAACGGGACCATTGTTCATGTTCGCTCGTTTAACTAAACGAACGAGAATTTGTGTTCATGTTCGTTCATTTATTAAATAAACGAACATAAACGAACTTCCCGCCAAACAGTTCACGAACGGTTCGCCGAACGTTCAGTTCGTTTACAACCTTACTTATGTCTATTCGATCACCAAGGGTCGTAAACAATATCACACTCCAACAACTAGATGAACAAATATTATCCTAATTACATGTGTCCATAATAAGTTTCACATCACATGTGATAATAGCCTTTATAACTACCTTACTCTGAACATCATTTGACTACGTCAAGACATGATGCTACATTTATTCGTAATCCAACATATATATTAGGTTGAAGGAATATAGACTCAATGATTTATAACATTTAGCTAATGACACATATCCATTACATAATATGTGTGACGTTTATGTTGAAGACTTGATCTACTCTTGCGTGTTGTAGGGTTAATATGATGTTTTACGTAGTCTTCATCATACAAAAGCAATACTGCAAAAATGGTCGAGATTACGAGTTCGCCAAAACATGTTTTTCTTAAAGCCATTCATCACAAAAATCTAAGATCAGACTCACACACAAATATATATATATATA